GTGCTTATTTATTTGTTTGGTGGTGTCTTTTCCCCCCTCCTGAAATACTCCTCCTTTACTCTAATCCCTTTAATGTCTCTCACTTGCTGTAGTTAGCTTGTGCAGTGCCTATCCCAATCCACACAATCAGATTTCTGTGACCCTGTGCCTAGTAAGGTGCCTTCCAGAAGTGCTGGACTGTAGCTCCCACTGGGGACAGGAATTTCAGTCCAAAACATCTGGAAGGCACCTGCCAGGAGAAGGCTGCAGTGGAACAGTGGGCCATAACTTAGCATACTACTTTATATAGCTATATGGTGGCTATCACTTTTGAGAGTGCCTGCATTCCATTTTGGATGGAGATTGCTCATCATTAGATCCTCTTTGTGGGCACATGAATGTCCCTAGCTGGAATACTTGGCTGTACCAGAAGAACAAATTTCAGTCGGAGAGCAGAACAAAGCAAGAACTGCTCCGGAAAGTCACATGGGGATGCAAAAGGTTCTTAAAGTCATCCTGGAAAAATGTTGCCCGAATTTATTATTCAACCTAACCTGTGAGCAGACTCTTGCATTCTTAGTAGAGTATCCCTGGAAGAAGCTGCCTGGCCTTTTGGATGTCAGAGTTCTGTATGCGCATGTGTTCTTGCATGTCCGTGTCCTTGTGCATGTGTATGTTCACAGGATGACCTCAAAAGTGAGCACCAGCTGCAGGCCAGGAGACCCTCACAAAATATGGCCATTGGGACTGATCCATAACATGTCTTTACCACTAGCAACCAGGCTGTCAACATGGAGCAGCCGATGACTTCTGCATCATGCCGAGGGGGCTGTGCTTTAGGCGCAAGAGGGTCAATTTTAAACACAACATGGGTGGTTTGCTGTGAGGTGGTCAACTTAAATGCTGGACTTGTGAGGTTCCTAAAATTCATCCTTGGAGAGGTGATGGTATCTCACCTTTGCTTGCAGATATGTACTAGCTACCTGTTTTTCCCCCGTGGATGTGATTCTTAGTACTTAGTTTAACTGTTAAAAGCCCTAAGACTGGAGTGAGGAACCTGAGGCCCTCTAGATGATGCTGGATTCCAGCACCCAACAGCCCCTGCAGCATGGTTAGTTGCTGATGATGGAGGCTGTAGTTCAATGACATCTGGAAAGCCCAGTGTTGCCTGAACCCTGCCCTAAACATTCTAGAACCAGTGAATCCAAAGAACTACCTGTTCCCATGTGGCTCTACCTGTGTATTAATGTTTGGAAGCATTCTATTCAGTGCTGAGAATGGTGGCTTCTCTGTGGACATGGTCTTCCTTATGATGATTCCCAGGCTGTAGAACACCATTCCCAGGTCAATCATCAAGTTCCATTTTCCTATTTTCTAGGTGCCAGCTCACATTTTCATGTATGATATTTAACTGTTTTTAAGCTGTATGACTCTCTACTGTTTCTACAGCAGCTTTAAAAAATTGTTTTAATGCAGTATTTTTGCTTGTTGTAAGCTGCCTTGGGGCCAGTATTGGAGCAGCACATAGCTGTGTTAAACGAACAAACCCTCCTCCATTTCCCTAAACAGCTTGTGTCCATTTCTTTGGAATTTGCTGTATATTGTTTTTGTGAGGGAAATGTGTTCTCTCTTTTTTAGTGCTTCTATCACCTCGGGCCATGAGAAGGGCAGTCTGCTGGATCAGAGTTAAGGTCCATCTAGTCCAGCCTCTGGACCTCCTACATTAACCAACGCATCTCCCAGAAGTCCATCAGCTGAGCATGAAGACAGCAGTTCTCTTCAATGGCTTGTGGGTAACATCTGCTAGGCAGGGCCATGGAGGGGTCTGTTAAGTTATTTTGACTAGTTGCTATTGATAGACCTGTCTTCAGCATGTGTCTAACTGCCTCCAACTAGGGTTGTCAGAAATCCACACTGGATTAACATGTGCTTGAATTTCTATGAATTCATCCTGTGGATTCCATAGGAGACTGACTTTTGCTATGTCACTGCAGATTCTGTAGTCTTGTGGAGTGTTTAAAAAAGACTGTTAAGAGGGAGTTTGTGCAAATTCCCAAATTTGCTAATGTACATTAGCACTAATTCACACTTACACTAATGCATATTATTGGCGATTTACACATGCAGGATTGTGAAATCCACATAGATCCTTCAATTAAAAAAAAATCTGACTTTGTCAGGTGTCTTTCATTGACAATCTGTGAAACAGAAATTGAATGGACTTTGCAAGCACAAATATGCAAATTGTTATTAATCATCTCTTGGCTGTGAAGTCAATCACCTGTTGTATGGAGAAGCACTTCAGTTCTATTTTTTTCCCCTACCCTTTTGGTCTTCGTTATTTCAGCTCAGAACTTACTCATGAAGAAAGAAGTAAACTGTTCATGTGTCACCCCACTACAAGTATTCACCTTGCCCCACCCCTTTCACCGTAATACTTTCCCCCTTGTTTCCTGCATCTGGTCTGGAGCTTCTCCTGCTCTGGAGGAGGAGATGGATTGATCATTCTTATGACAGCTGCCTCTCAAAGTGGTTCATCCGTCAAATTTGGCAGGGGTGAGCAACTTGTCGATGTTTTGCCTATAGCTCCTATCAGGCCTGGTCAATGGTGAAGAACTGTAAATGCTTTTGCCCACAAGTTGCCCAACCTAAGCATCTCTGAAAACTGCACCCTCTACTCTGACACCCTTGTCCTTTCTTTGCTGTAGGGCTTATTCAACAGCCTTCCCCAGCCTGGTGTCCTGCAAATGTGTTGAATAAGCAGTCCTCATTCATTCCAGCTAGCTTTGGCCAGACTGACTTGGAATGATGCATGATGCGGTTGAGTGTATCTGGAGAGCACCAGGTTGGGAAAGACCCTTACATTTAGTTGACAGAAAGGAAATCTGTGCCTGCTCATGGAGCTCAAGTGCTGCAAAAGCCATATGGCTGAGCTGTGGCATCAGAACCAGGTTCAAGGGTTAAGTATCAGCCTTGACCTACATGAAGCCCTGAGGAAGCACTCAGCAGCCTTCATGGGCACGGTGTACTGGCTTTCCCTTTGTCAATTAACAAAGCCTTGCAGCTAGCACAGTTTCACTGGTTCCTCCTTCACATAACCTAGTGGGTTGAATCCAGCTTTAGGCATGCTTAGAGTAGTCCTATTGAAACCAGTGGGACAAGTATGTCACATCCTCTTGATTTCATAGGATCATAGAACTGAAGAGTTGAAAAGGGCCCTTGGACCCAATACCCCACCCCCTCCATTCAGTGGAGGACTCCAGATTAAACCATCCCTCTCAGGTGGCTGTACAGGTACAAGAATGACCTGGATTCGATTCACCATTACTTTACCCATAGAGTAGAATTGGAAGGGGTCAGAGGGCCATGTTACCTTTGTGACTATGCAAACTATGTTTACATTTTTGGCAAATCTGTTTGCTTGGAATGTATTGACATATTAAATGCTCATACAGAATTGGCAGGACTACTCTGTTGCTAGCTGCACGCAATGACAGGCTTAAATGCTTTCAGCCACACACATCACAATTTTCTTTGCAAGTTCCAGATTCTTCAGTGGCCTTGTTGCTAATGCACACTCCTTTACGTCTGCACTAGGCCTCTGACACCTTTGTGTAGATCTGTGGTCCCTGGTGGAAAAGCAGGAGAGCATACCTGAAGCTTACACTTATACCTTCTTCACATGCGCACGTGAATGCTATAAGGGATTTTTACAGGGATTTCTACTAAAGCATATCCTGGCACAGACCCCAGGAAGATACTTTTTACATTCCTCCACCAGTGACACAAAGCAGGTGCTTAGGCACACTCGCACCTTTCCACAGTGATTTGATGGTTCTAAGTCCAAGCGGGCTTGAGTGATGTTTGTACACCTTGACTATGGCGGCTGGAATTGCCCCAGCACACACGGAAGCTGCTGATCTGAAGGCGCCGTGCGTATGTACATGGGGAAAATGTGCAGCCGTGTCTGGCACACAGGTGCCATGATAAAGCGAAGAGGTGCGCTTGGATATCCCTTCACGTCCAGACACGGTGACTTCTCAGGCGGCCGCCCATTCACACGCTCTTCCCCGGCCAGACGCGTGTGCGTTTGTGTGTCTGGACGCGGGGGAAGCGGGCAGAGAGGGGGAACGCTCTCCAGAAGGTGCATCTGTGGCAGCCGCCGCTGCCTTCCAGCGTGGCCGACCGGTCCCGCCGGGGGGCGGTGGGGGGGAGCCCTGGTCGAGGGCCATCCCCGGACAGATGAGAAGGGGCTGGCACATTGGCGAGCGGCGCACAAGAGGAGGGACCAGGCCCGGGCCGGTGCGCACTGCCCCTCGGGCGCTCCGAGAGGCGCGCACACCCAGCCGCGCTCCCAGCGCCCTGCCCGCAGCGGCGCGAAGCTCGGGCTCCGCAGCCCGCCGCGAGCAGCCGGCGCTGCCCGGCCAGCCGCCCTCCAGGCGCGCCGCACCGCACCGCACCGGTGCCCGCGCCCTCTCCCGCGGGGGAGAAGCTGTCAGCCCGGCAGCCTGCACGGGGCTCGCGCGTCCCTTTCCTCGCCCCCGGAGCCCTCTTGACAGTCAGCGCCTGCCCCGCAGCCTCGCCGGACAGCGGCCGGGCCGGGCCGAGTCGCCCCCGGCCCCAGCCCCAGCCCCAGCCCCAGCCGCAGCGCCCTCTCCGCTTCTGTCGTCGCCAGCGCGCAGGCTTTGACGCCCAGTGGAGAGCGCGCAGCAGCCCCGGGAAGGCTCTCCCCTCCGCCGCCTCCGCGCTCAAGGGCATGGGCTGGCCACGCCGAGGGACGCCCTTATAGCGCTACTCGGGAGTCAGCGCGGCTCGGGAGCCGCGGGAGAGCGGCGCATTGGCAAGTGGCAGCAGCGCGCGCGGTAGAGAGGAGGCAAGAGCCCCCAGCCCGAGACCCCGCCAGTTAAAATAAACAAAAGGGGAGGAAAAAACACCCCCGCCCCGTGCTCCAAGCCGGCGGAGCCGCCAGCTCCTGCTTCTGCTCCGGTAACCGATCGAGTTACCGTGTAGAATCGCTCAGGATGAATCTCTTCTCTTCCATATTTAGCTATTTGTAAGTAACCGCTGATAAATTTGCTTGGCTTTACTGGCTTCCCCTTCCCCGCCCCCGAAAAACAGCTTCCCTGATTTTCCATCTTTATTTCTGTTCCATTTCAAAGGCAAAATCATCTCACCATCTACTTTGTTTTTCCCCCCCTTTCCTCCCTCCTTTTCCATTATTCTAGGCTACTGCACTTGTTTGCTTTCTGCTTGCAGGCACAGGTAAGGAACTGCTTTATTTTTAAAAAAAAACCCCTTTTGGGGTTTGTTTGTAGTAAATAGTCAAATGTGACTTTCTGAAACTTTTTTTAGTGAATGTTAAAAGGAGTTTTATAAAAGTGTAGATAACTAGTTGAATGAAAAGTGTTTCAGCAACTAAATAGATGCATCAGAGAATGAGATGCAAAGCAGTAGGCTGAACATTGTGGTTAAAGTAAAAATATATGTAAACCTAACTGAAAAATTGAGAGAGCAAACTTGAGAGAAGCGAGCCAGGATACAAGGCAGGAAATGAATGCTGATTAATTCAGACACTACTGAAATATTTCTCAAACCAATTTTGTATTTCAAATTGTAATCATTTTTGTTCAGGAATTTGGTTTTTAAAAACATTCTTAAGAGACAATGTTCCAGTAATAATTTCACAGTATTTCATATTATTAATTCCTGTTTGCTCAAAATTAGAAGTGCTATTAATTTCCACACTGACTGATACTGTGGAATCTATAACCTTTCTGGTTCAGTATTGATTGCAAATCCAGGGAGCAAAAGACAAACACTTGCAGAAAAATCCCCCCCATGAGAGAGAGAGAGAACAGGTGTAAGCTTTTGAGTTTGAGTGGCAATTATACCCTAATTGTGTAAGCTTAAAATACGAAGATAATTCTGAATGCAAGGGAGTTGTGTAAAAACAGTGCTGTCATATTTTGGGTTGTAATAATTTGGAAATCAAAGAGCTGGAGGGTTGTCCACATGGTCTGCTCATCAGAGCAGGCAAGGGAATCTGGAGACATTATCAAAAGAACCATCTATAGGAAATGTGCACGCACGCACACACACACACACACAGGGGAAAAGTGAGCTAAATTGTCAAGGGATGGTCTCTATAAACTCCCCCTTAGAGAAGGAGGTTTCTTTTCCATTTGTATGGAAGAACCATAGCATTTGACATGGGGGCTGAAGGTGTGGGGGTGGAAGAGGTTACTTCATGCACGGCCACCCCATGAGGTTGAAAGGAACAAATCTCCTCAACATTTGTTCAGAATACGTCTTTATAAATGTCAGGGGCAAACTAACCCCCTTCAGACTTAAAAGAGGAATTGGAGATGTAGAGGGGCTGGAAGAATTCTCCTAAGACCAAGTTGCAAGAGGAGAGAAACAGATTTGGGTAGCAGCAAAATCATTGTATAACTTACTGCAGTTACGCAGCCCAAATCATTCCATAACAGGCTTACAATTTGCTTTGAATGTGTGTGTGCAGGAGTGAGGGGGTGGGAAACCCACAGCCAGCCTCTGTGTATGGAAGGGCTCATAAATATTAGCTGGAAAGACAATTCCGAACTGCCTCAGCTGCTGACACAACTGATCCCTGTTTAAGGGGGATGAAATATGGCTCCCCCACCCCAATCTGACACTGGTTACTTTGGTCCAGGGCACAGAGGCCCTTGTAGCCCTACAGGGCAAAACTTGAATGGGCCAGTTGAAATAGCAGGAAAACAAGTGCTAAAGAAACAGAAACAGGTCCAGTAATTGGAAGTCACAGGATTATTACCTAACTGGAGATGTACACTGTGTAATGGGATTGCACATAAGTTGTGCCAGTGATCCTTGTGGCTTGCATCAGAGAGATCTGAATGATGGAGCTTGTTTGCCCAGGTGGTAATCTGGAGCAGACCCAGCAATTCCTGCTGAGTCTTCCTGGATTTTAATTGGTGTAAACTGGTTTGGGATCATGTCAGATACAACTCCATTGTGTTTGCAGCCTGGTTGAACACAGCACAAATCTGGGGAGATCTGTTTGAAATTTGAGCAGCCATACCAATTACAAAAGAAGAGCCAGAGTTACCTGATTCTGGGTCAGTATTCCAGAATCACCTTTGTTCACATTATATCCACACTAGTTTCCTGGTGATCCTGGTTATAACTTCTCAGTCATAGCTAGAATGGCAGTTTCTCTTACCAGTCCCTAAAAATCCTGGCTTTGCACTGCAGAAGCTTGGTGCATTCTCAAAACACACCAGGAACATGGCAAAATAATCTTTCTCAGAGGAGTAGAGATTATAATGGTGTGTTGTATATTTTTTAATTTCCTAAAGGTAACTGTTCAGTCCCCACCTAATTTTACACAGCATGTGAGGGAGCAGAGCCTGGTGACCGACCAACTAAGCCGGCGACTCGTCCGGACCTATCAGCTGTACAGTCGGACCAGTGGAAAGCACGTGCAAATCCTGGACAACAAGAAAATCAATGCCATGGCAGAGGATGGAGATGCTCACGGTAAGATTCTGTGTGCGGGCAGCAGGGCTGGGGGAGGGTGTACATGCAGCACAGTAATTGATGATTTCCGTTCCTTTTGTTAGCCAGAAATCATTACGAGCATTCAGAAGGCAGGGCGCTTGTGATGGAAGAATGTGGCAATCAATATTTGTAATAACAGTACATTGTTTTCCCTTTGAGAATCGGGATGATGATAGCCCTGCTTATGTGGAGGGGTCTGGGTTTTGTTTTTACACCTGATCTTTGACCACTCAAGTGTGTGGGAGGTGAGTTGCAGACTAAAAACTATATGTGCCCATTTGGTGGGGGAGGAGAGATGCTCAAACTGCTTTGAAGGAATGCCTTGTTAGTATCTTCCTTCAGTCTAGATCCAGCATCTCAGTAATACAAACATAAGGCCTTGTGGAGGATGTTTTCAACTTGGGACATTAAACCCGAGTTGTACAGTATCTTAGGCAGAGTTTGTTGCTAGCTATGCTCTAAGCACAGCTTAGGAGCTGAGTTCTGACAACACAAATCCTTGGCATGAATACTGGGCAACAAATTTCCTTTGGGAGAAATGGATATGACACCGGGAAACCAGGACAGAGTGAAAGTGTTAAGGAATTTAGCTCTGAATGTTATCTAGTCTTTCAAATGGTCATACCACATTCAAGTGGATGGAGAAGTTAGTGAAATTATGGCTACAAAAAACTGGGCATTTGGCCTCATCTCTGTAACATGCCTTATAAAAATTAGACACTATATAAGGCTACAACTATAGTCTTGCTTTGTTTTCAGATTGTTGGAGCAAATGTGCACCCTAATTTTGAAAGCACGTATTTGAACACATCACGATTAGAATTCCTGGTTTTTCACATCAGGCCCGATTTCACCTTCTCACTTAGAATGATTATGCCAGATATGCTTGCTCTCATAGTTTTGAGGTGGCTGAGGATTTTGTAATGAACTTTAATTGCTGGAGGGATTCCACACTTTCTTACTTATATTTAAACCTTTCAAACAAACTATCCTAGCCATAAAGCAGCCATAATTTGAGGTAGGTCAGTTTGTTTCTCCTGCTTAAATATCTGATATAAAAAGAGGCTACTTTAAATAACAACATTAGGTAAGAATAGAATGAAATGAAAGGAGTGCCTTGACAAAGAAAAGACCTCTATTAAAACATAATAAAGAGGTTAAGCAGTTGAAGAGCTAGGAAGCAAACTGAGCAATGATCTAAAACAGAAAGAGAATGCAAGCAGTTTTTCAGATGTAAAGTTTTAAAAGAGTCGCAAGTCTGTAAATGTTAAAATAGAGGTTCAGGATTGTTCTATATGAATCTCTAGAGAGACCCCCATGTCTGGAAGAGCTATTAAAACTCTTCTTACTTTCACCTTTTTAAACATTTCCTGAATACTTTCTCCTCTTCGCAGTCCAGTTAGGGGATCAAGTGTGCCTCGCTGCATTTTTTCTGCATCTACGTAGCCACTTTCCCTTCAAAGTTTGAGCACGAAACATAATTTTACTGGGATAAATCTGTCACTGAAGTGAAAGAATAGAGTTGAAAATGTTAAGCTTTCCCCCCCCCCCCATCAAAATCAACCTTTCACACTGTTAACATCTTATATTAAAACCTCACCTTTATCATTTTAAACAATATAATATTAATTTGGATGATTCTTCTTCTTTGGCTGCAGATTAAAAAAGTGATTTATTTCAGCCAATGACCATTTTCTCTGCTGTGACATTTTTATGGCTGACTTAATGTCAGGTCCATTTTTCTTGGTTATCTGTCTTGATTGTCAATACCTGGCTCGGTTTTCTAATTAGGAGCAAAGCCCCATGGATCATAAAGCTTGGTCCACCTCTGAGCATTGTTTAGTGATCTGTAATCTGGATTAAAATGATCTTTGTCTGTACGAGAGGAAAATGGTTTTGAAAGTGAATGATAATTGCCGTGTTTATTCCTGGTTGCATCTACTGGGGGATTGAGTTTGCTGCTGCAGACAGGTTGTTCTACATATTACCTTGTGAATGGGGTGAGGTCTACATGATATGTCTTTGTAGGCATCTTGTCCTTACTCTTCACATTTCCTGCCCCACTGCTCATCCACATCTCTGCTTCAGAGTAGGTTCAAGCCAGTAGGGCCTGCCAAACGAGCAGTGATTCAGCGCTAGAGGCTGGTCACCAAAGAGGCTCGTGTGGCAAGGCAAAGCCCACCAACAGGCAATAAATCAGAAAGAGCCTTTGAAAAGGTGGAAGAGAAAAAAGCATGTGTTGTTCTGCCTCTGTTCAGGGCTGCTTTTCTATGTCTCTCCATCAGGCAGCAAAGGGAGAGCATGGAAATTGATGCTCTTTAAACCTTTTACTACTCTCTTGATCGACCTTCCTTGCTCGTGCCCCCAAAGACAGATAAATAAGGGGACCTTGTCTATGTGACTCAATGAAGAGGAGTCGGGGGTCCAATTGCTGTTTGGTGAGGGGGGGTTTGCAGATGTTAATATTTTATAGGCAAGAGAAGTGCTAAAATTAAAGGGGTTGTAATGGGTCGGAAGAAGCGATGTGATGCTGTAATTCATATACAGCCCAACATGCTCACATGGGGGAGAGAGACACAGGACTCTGAGCACCGTGAGATGAGAGTGTTATGCAAAGGCTTTGGGCCTAGTTTAAAAGATTTGCCTAGATAGTTGTAGTAGCAAAGTATGAGACAGTCCCGAGCTAATGACATGGTTTTCTAGCCCTCCCACACCCTCCACTATAATGTTGCATGTGGTGGCTGTTTGCAGATGAAATCTGCTTCTTTTGCTTGAGAGAGGCAAAAGCTTTATGGAGTTTAACCTTTCTTATAGGCAGAGCATATTCACTAGAAGAGATTGAACCACAGCCTGACTGGGAAAGAGGGCAAGCAAAATAGTATCAGGCTTGAAATAGCAACCTGTATAAATAAAGGTTGCAATGTCAGAGGCTTTTGGGTTTTTTTTTAAAAAGGTAAGAGACTATGATATAGATGTGTACAATTATGCAGTGCACTCAAAGTGGAGAGAAAAGGAGAGAGAGAAGTATAATGTTTTTCTTCTACTTCCTACAGCAATTAGTGAAATTGTGGAATTCGCTATCAGTGATGACCATTAACTTAGATGGCTTTAAAAGGAGGTTAGAAAATTCATGGTGGATAAAGTTGTCAATGGTACGAATCATGAGGGGTGCATGCAACCTCCAGCAGCAACTGCTGGGGAACAACAGTTGGAGAAAGATGTTGCCCCTAAGTTCTGTTCCGGGGGCTCTCTGTGGGTATCCGGTTGGCCTTTGGTCTCATCCCATAGGAGTCTTCCAATGCTCCAATGCACTTTTGAGAGCAAAAGTGGAAGGATGTTCTGTTGCTGAGTATGTAACAAGGTATGTTTCCATGGGGAGGGACCTTTGCTTTCGGATTCTGTTCAGCCAACTGCAGCTTTCCCTGTGCCTGGCTGCACTAATATCTCGTGTCCTAATTCTTATCTAAAAAAGAGACTGTTGCTCTCCACAATCCATCTCAAAGCTTACTCCAGGCCCTTTGTCTTGCCATGACAATATTTAGGGTGCTGGTGATGGTGGGTGTGCTTAGTTCCTGTGAATCAACATACCTCTTGCATAATGTAGGTGTGCAATAATGTATTAACTCAAGGATGCTTAAGGCAGCAGGCCTGAGATTGTTCCATTTTTATTTTGGGAACTGTTGAATCTTAGATGCCATTCTTTATTATTTTTTATTGAAAGAATGACCCTTTAGTCAAGGTGAACTGCCTCCCCCCAAAACAGCCTCAACATTCTTTAAAAATGTAGCTAATTCCATGAAACCGAGCATCCATGATCTACCTGTGGAGGCCTACAGTTGTTTGAGTTCCAACTAAATAGCAGGCCAAAGGACAAGCTTTGTAATTCAGCTCTGGATTGAAAGATGTGATCAAAAGCAATCAAACAAGCTCCTGTCCTGCAAGCTAAGTTTGAAATATGGTGGGTGGGAGAAAAAGGAATGGCTGAGGCCTGATTAATCCTCCTCAGGTATTACTGAGAAGGAAGCATTAAGGAATGTAGTGGCCCTTTAAACCAGCTGCCCCCAGCTTGATGTGTTGCTGTAACTCCCATCATTCCCAGCCAATAAGAGTAGTAGTCCACATCTGAAGGGCACCAGGATGGAGCAAACTACTTTATGTACTGACTTCATGGCCAAAGCACTGAAGAACTTCCTACTATCCTATTCAGATAGGATGCACCCCATCCTTTTGGCGTGTCCAAGGAAACCAAATCAAAGAGAGTTCTGTCCACAGCCAAAGTCGAAGATCTGTACAGCAGAGTCTGAATGATGCTATAAAACAAATGAAAAGATCGACACCTACCCTGTTGATTTTAAACTATAGCTCTGATGTGGACAACTTGAGGCCTTCCAGATATTTTAGCCTACAAGTCCCATAATTCCTTACCATTGGGTATGCTGGCAATGGCTGATGGAAATTGTAGGCCAGAACTTCTGGAGAACCATACTTTGCTCAGCCATGCCGTTGCTCAGCACCAGAGCACATGCTGTGTATGCAGAATATCCCAGGTTTGATCCTTGGCATCTCTAGGTTTGGCTGGGGAAACTGCCTGAAACCCTGAAGAGCTGCTGCTAGTCAGTGTTGACAATACTGGGCTAGATGGACCAAGAGTACAGGGCAGCTCCCTATCTTGCTAAGCATATAGCTCTTCTAGGACTTATTTAGGAAACATTTATACCACTTTATCAAATGTACCTCAAGGAACTCCTTCTGTTTCAGTGACAATACACATTTTCCTAGTTTTCAAATTATCAAAATATATTGTTGCTGGGCCAATGTGCTGCTCCCCACACACAACCCCTAGCTAGAAGTGCTGTTGTGATCTTGAGTCTTGAATGTGGTTGTGCATCATGGCTGGTTGTCAGGTAGATATTCTCCTTCCCTCCACAATCAGATTGATAATGAGGCAGCCTGGATCTTTGTATCCCTCACCACATGCC